AAAGTCTTATTTACTACCTCTGTCCAACTAATTGAATTGTCAGAATCTCATTCATTTAAGGAAATTCACCTGATTCAATCAATTTGAGTGTCATCAACATGCTCATTAGGTTATGTATAAATTAAAAAAAAACACGCCACTAAGATTTTCCTATATTTTCTTTTTGGTTTGCCCCATTAAGCATATTGTCTCATATATACAAAATTGGATAAAGTTTGTGTGATTCTAAATCATTCTTATTTATTAATTCAATACCAACCATATAAAATCACTATTCTTAATAACCGCATTACCTTCTCATGTCTGTGTACACACCAAATGTAATTGTCTGTAGATAGATAATTGATTTTAATTTTATTCAAGGGAAATGTTTGTGACCCCAAAAATGAATTATTTGTGCAATAATAATGTATAGTAATTAATAAATTCTGGAACATAATTTTTTTTAATAATAGTAGTGACAATAATAAATGTAATAGTATTAGTTGTAATAATAATAGAAATAACAATTATAATAGTTACTAACGACTCATCGGTTATTAGTTTATTACTAATTATAATACTTTTATTAAAATTATTAGTAATAAGTATAGATAGCTTATTACTTTGTAATAAGTAAATTATATCAAAATATTAGCTTGTAGATTTGTACAACCTAATTTACAACTACTTAGCTATTTAGGATGTTTTTACTTAGTTTGGACGTATTTTAGTGTAACACAAAACTTAAAAATATCAGGACAGACTTTAGTAGACCAGCTCAGATCAGACTTTGGTATTGTAGTTGTAAAATGCACAATGACTAGACCAGTTTAGACTAGACAACGTTTAAAAAAATCAGACCAGACCAGGAAATTTCAGTCCAACTAAAGACACCATTATTATCTTATTATTGTACTTAGATATAACAATGATATATATTTGTTATTCTAATAATTTTTGGGGACTCTTTTATTTGAGTTATCTTGCTCATTAGGTATTCTTAATTTATTTATGAAACAACTAAAAAATTTAATTTAGATGGAGATCGGAGTACTACATAAAAAATTTGAAACTAGAATACCGAACTGTATTGTGCAATACCGATTCCCCAAAATTTCAAACAAGGGACAACCCCTACGCATGCAAAGGCCATGCATGACCACACCTTATTATACCACTGTACGTTGTTGTAATTGCACGGTAATATATATGATACAACCGGCTCTACCTAGAGCATGGTACAACCGGATTATTTTCTTTTTCTTTTTCCGCCGTTAGGTCCGCCACTCTTCATTTTGTTTTTGTTTTCTCTTTTCTTTATTTGCTGCCTTTGACTTTCTTTCCATGCTTTTCAGTTTTTCCGTTTTACGTTTCTTTTCACGTTTCAACTTTCAATGCTTTAGATGTTTTCCTTTTTAGTTCGTTCTTTTTCTTTTGTTTATTTTCTTTAACATGCTTTAATTTCTTATTCAACTATTATGAAAAAGGTTAATATAAAATATTGTTAATGTTTGAGTTTGTTTCTTCTTCTTTTTTAATCAACCTTCTAACTCGAGTTTTATTAATTTGTGCATTATGTTATCGATGTTTTTCATCTATTTTTTTAATTTAAGATGAATATTTATTAGTTACTAAATATTGTGTATTAATTACTAACATGAGTTATGTGTTATAAACTTATAATAAAATGAGTATAATGTAAAATAAATATGCACAAATGAACATTTGAACATATTAGAGAATTCAAACGAGCTTTTAAATTTTCGACGCTCATTTTGTAAGTTACTTGTATTCATCTCGTACTGGTTTATGCTCATTTCAAAACTATAATATTAGATTCACATAAGAATTAAATTATATACACGAGAGCAAAGGTCATGATACTCAATTGCATATTTCTAATAATCAATTGATGAGATTTGATGTTCATTGAAAATGTATTGATGATCAACTAACCAAGCTTATAATTTTGATATCATTTCTCATATGGTAAATTGTGTATGTTCATTTAATATTGGTGTTATGCTCATTTTAAAATGTTATGTCAATGCATATTCCAAAAGCACTATATTACATTAAGTTTCGTAGGAGTTGATGATTATAGATACGGGAGCTCAAACCATGATACTCAATTACATAGAGGATGTTTGATACTCAATAAAAATGTCTTAATGCTCAACTAAAAAACTGATGACTTTCGTATTAATGCTCATTTTGTAAGTTACGTGTGCTCAATTGGTACTTCTATTATGCTCATTTTGAAATGTCATAATAATGCATATTTCAAAAGTACCATATTACATTAGATTCGCATATTGAAATTCATAGGAATTGGTTATAGATATAATTTAATGAGTTTTTATAAAAGAAAAAAAAAGAAAAAAAAATTGAATTACAATATATGAAGTTGATATCACAATACTCATTATTCGACTCTTAATGCTCATTTTAAAATTGTCATATCGATGCATATTTCAAAAGTGCAATATTACTTTAGATTCACATATTGAAGTTACGCTCATAGAAAATGATTATATATATAATTTAATAAATTTTTATAAAAAAAAAATAAGAAAAAGAAAGTAAATTAGAAAATATGAATCAAAGATCACGATATCATGGTTACACTCCTAATGCTCAATAGAATATTATTGCTCATTTGGTACGTTTTGTATGCTCATTTGGTACTGGATCTATGCTCATTTTAAAATGTTATATCAATGCATACTACAAAAGTGTCGTATTACATAATATTTACATAGGAGTTCATTCTAGATACTAGATCGAGCACATACCTTGATACTCTATTGAATGTTTCTAATATTCAATAGAAGAGATTTGATGTTCAATGAAAATGTCTTGATACTCAATCAAAAAAACTTATCAATGCTCATTTTGTAAGTAACATATGCTCAATTTATACTCATTTATGCTCATTTTTAAAATGTCATATCAATGCATATTTCAAATGTCATATCATGATTTTCATCAATCTCAATAAAGGAGTTTTGATGCTGAATGAAAATATCGTGATGTTCAACTAACAAAGCAACTAACAAATTCATTAATACTCGTGATGTAAGTTACATATGCTCATCTGATACTGATCTTATGCTCACTTTCTAAATGTATTATTTTATGATAGACTCCTAATACTCAACATAATAGGTATGATGCTCATTAAAAGTTCATTAATGCTCATTCACAAGAAACTGTGATTTTCATCTCAATGGCAGATGTTTGATGTTCAATTAAAATGACGTGATGTTCAACTAACAAATCTTATGATAAAAATAACAAAAAGAAAGTGAATTAGAAGTTATGAAGCAGATATCACGATTCTGAATATTATACTCCTAATACTCAACAGAATAGGTATGATGCTCATTAAAAGTTCATTATTACTCATTCTCTAGAAGTCGTGATTTTCATCTCAATAGTGGAGGTTGAATGCTCAATTAAAATGTCATGATGTTCAACTAACAAATGTTACGATTTTCATATCAATGTGCACTTTGTAAGTTATGTATGTTCATTTGGTACTCATGTTATGCTCATTTTTACAATGTCATATCAATATAATGTAATTTTCCTTTTATAAAAACTTATTAAATTATATTTCTAATCAACTCCTATGAATTTCAATATGTGAATCTAATGTAAAATAGTACTTTAAAGAAAATATGCTGATATGACATTTAGAAAATGCACATCTTACAAAATGTTCCTAGATATGAAAATCGCAAAGTTTGTTAGTTTGAATAACAACATATTCATTGAGCATCAAATATCATTTATTGAGATGAAAACCCCTGTTTCTGTTAAATGAGCATTATTAAACTTTTAATGTGCATCAGACCTCTTATGAGCATTAAAACAATTTTGATGAGCATCACGCTTATTAGAAACCTAACACTATATAAAAAAAATTATAAATATATGTATATAAATTAATACTAGATATCAAATAAATACTTCAAAAATATGAATTACTCTTTTAATATAGTAATAATGAGAAAAAGCAAAAGAATAGTTAATATTATAATTACTATTAATAATATGTAGTATGAAACTATATAGGATAAGTAAGATAAAAGAACTAATTATTTCAACAAGACGACTTGGTGAGATGGTTGGAAGATAGCATATGCTACTATAGGTCTGGGGATCGAATCTTGTTGTGGTTTCTAATTTTTTGTGAAGGAATCCAGTTCCCTATGGTCGCGATTCGCTGGGACGAGATGTCAAATATGGTGAAAATATCAAATTCCCACTTTTCTCCCCAATGGTTGCAACCTGTCTTAGGAGGAATTTGTATTCTCATCTAGAAATTATCAATTTAAAATATAATCATAGCCTACAGACAGATTATTTTCATTTATATATACAGAATATAGAATTTTATATGATATGTACCATCATATTTTAAGGGTTATATATATATATGGAAGAGTTCACATAAAAAGAACTCTTATCATGCAAAGTGCGAAGATATGCACTTTTTCATGATTCGCTTGCACTTTTTCGTATTTCCGTTGCAATATTTCGCGGTGCCGAAAAAATGCAACATATTTACGAAAGTGTCACCGCGATTTCGGTCGAATTTGTGCATTTTTGCCTTATTTTGAGCCATTTGATGTGGAAATGAATGCACAAGATTCACTCTCACTTTGAATGGAAAGAGCTCTTTGTATTTGAACCGTCCCCTATATATGTTTGTGTGTAAAAATCGTTAAACATCTTTTAATGTCACCTTCCTTATCAGTACTTTTGGGTATGGTAGATCCGCCTCATTAATATGTTGGAGTTTGTGTTTGTGACTTGAGCTCTTATTCAGAGTGGGCTCAGAAGACTTGATTCCTGTTTCCTTATTCTATTATGATAGTATGTTGCTCGACCCTAATTAAGTGTGTAGATTTAAGTGTGAGAACACTTTTTATCAATAATACTTTCACGTGTATACAGATTTAATTTACTCAAAGTTGCCCTCAAACCGTCAAACGCATTCAAATGAGTCAGTCACATCATCATCACGTACTTAACGTTAATAATATACATTGAGGAAAGCGATAGTATTAGTTACATACATGTGGAAAAAGTTGCCCTCAAACAAAACTTTCACATCATCACTTAACGTTAACATACATTTGAGGAAAGCGATAGTATTACTTGCATATGGAAAAAGTTGCCCTCAAACGAGACCTTCACATGCATCATCTTCCATATTATTTATTTCCTCTGTGCGTTTGAACATCCAGAGCCTTTTATATCTCCCGACCATAGTAGGATAGCTAGAGTAGTCTGCTACATACTCTTAAATGTCTCCTCCTCTCAAAACCAGAGTTTTAATTTTTCTTGGCATAATCTTCTTTTCACTACAGTCAACTTTCGAGTCAACAATGCCAAGAAACGTGACGAGTGTTGTATTGGATGGGTACCGTAAAATATTCAGTGAGAAGAAGACATTCGTGTTGGGATTCTTCAGCATAGGTGATAGCCAATCGAGTTGGTATTTGGGCATATGGTATGCTTCATCTCCTACTCCAACCTATGTTTGGGTGGCAAATAGGGAGATACCAATCAAGAATCTATCACAGGCTTGACTTGAGATAACCAAACTGGAAGGGAAGTTAGTTCTGAAAAATGGGGAAGAAGGTTCTGTTGTTTGGGAAACGAAGGGCAACACTGAGCACGCCAGCGGAGTGAAGCTCACGGACCAAGGGAATCTGGTGGTTTATGATACTGAAGGAGTGCTCATTTGGCAAAGCTTTGATTTCCCGACAGATACGTGGCTTCCCGGCATGAACTTGACAGCTCAGAGCTGGCTTACCTCATGGAAAAGTTCCAATGACCCATCAGTGGGAAGGTATTCTCTCCAGCTCCTGTTTCCGACATACGGTGAGTTGGCTCTGGTGTATAATGATTCCAATGCTAACAATATTTATTGGTATTCTGGAAATTGGACCGGAAATGCCTTTGCACGAGTCCCTAGGATGGCCGAACTTCTTTGCATTAAAGATTTCATTTTTTCCCAACCTTTCACTCTAATGGCATCTTTGATGTACTCTGAGATGTCTATAGAGCACGGGGTACAACAGCCTCTGACCCATTTCCATTTAGACCACACCGGACAGCTTAAGCAATACACATGGTATGTTGAGACTGAGAACTGGAACATTGTCTGGTCAACACCTAAGAACCCGTGTTCGGTTTATGGATTTTGCGGGAATATGGGGTTTTGTGACACTAGTTCTTCTCTGAGTCCATGCAAATGTATTACGGGGTTTGAGCCGCGGGACGATGTTTCTTGGGATGCAGGAGATTTTTCTAGCGGTTGTCGCCTTCGTGATGGTACATGCGGTAATGACAATGGTGGGTTTCAACAAGTGAGGACAGCCACTTATGGTGGAGCAAGAAGTATGTCATTCACCGGAACTATGGCCACCTGTAAAAAGCGATGTTTGGGTAATTGCTCTTGTCTTGGTTTTCATTATAATGAAGGATCACGTGTCTGTACAAATATGTTCGGGGAGTTGTTGAATATGAGGAATAGTTTTTCTACTTCGGATGATAATGATGAGCTGTTTTTGAGAGTCAAGACAGGTGGTGTTAATGCCTGGAATGACAATAAGAAAAAGACGTTTCTATTGATAGGAGCAAGCTGCTTTGTGGTTATGGTAACTTTTGTACTTGGACTTTCTGCTTTTTTCATTTTAAGGAGAAAAATTTTGGGCCAGAAGACAGAGGAGGACAAGTATGAAGTAATGACAAATTTGAAACTCTTTTCACACCACGAGCTTCATGATGCGACAAAGGGGTTCTCCGAGAAGCTGGGGCAGGGAGGATGCGGAGCCGTGTTCCTAGGCAACCTACCCGACTCCTCACGTGTTGCTGTGAAGAGGCTGGACAGGGCGGGCGGTAGCGAGAAGGAGTTCCGGGCCGAGATATCCACCTTAGGAAACATTCAGCATATTAATCTGGTCAGACTCCGGGGGTACTGTTGCGAGGACAATCACAGAATTTTAGTTTATGATTACATGCCAAATGGTCCGCTCAGCTCCTACTTAAGCAGGGAAGGCGGCAAAGCGCCGCTGCCTTGGGATGTCCGGTTCCGGGTCGCCGTCGGCGTTGCGAGAGGACTCGCCTACTTACACGAGGACTGCCGGAGCTGCATCGTACACCGTGACATCAAACCGGAAAATATTCTTGTGGACGGAGATTTCTGCGCAAAGGTTTCGGATTTCGGGCTGGCAAAGCTCTTGTGTGGGGACCTCAACCCAGTGCCGGGGGCAATGGGAGGGACTCAGGGGTATGTTGCGCCGGAGGTGGCCTCCGGATCAGAAATCACGGCTAAAGCTGACGTATATAGCTATGGGATGACCATGCTCGAGTTGATCGGTGGGAGGCGTAACGTGGAGGGCCCGCCGCCTCCTACCGGCGGGAACGAGGATGAGAAATGGTTTTTTCCTCCCTGGGCGGCGCAGCAGATCATAGAAGGCAACTTGGCAGCAGTTGTGGACCAGAAGCTTGCGGCGATTGAAGGAGGAGGAGGGTATAATGCGTCGGAGGCAGAGCGGTTGGGACGAGTGGCGGTGTGGTGCATTCAGGAGGAGGAATCTGCCAGGCCTACAATGGGAACCGTTTTGAAGATGCTGCAGGGAGTCGCTGAGGTGGGACTGCCGCCAATGCCACCTAACATGCATCATGCGTTTCTCTCCGACGCGTCATCTTTTAAACTTAGCAAGCTAGCCACGTGTTCCACTCTCCATAGTGGCGAGGGATGTGACATCTTGGATGGTCAAAATTAAATTGCAAAAGAGTTGGTCTCTGGTGCATTGTAAAATTTAGTGTATTTTACTACCTTTTCGTAACCAAGCATATAATAGCAATTAGCAATATACTTGTATATATTTCTACTATATATATATAGGCAATTAGCAATATAGAAAATGTTAAACGGTCAAATAGGTTCTTGTACTGATCATGTGAGCTCAATTAGATACTTAAACTAAAAAACCGTCCAAAAGTCCAACTCACATCCCGAACTGGAAAAAAAGGGTCCAAGTTTCCTTTTTTAAGGTTTTACAATCGATAAAAAGGTTCAATTCGCACTCTTAAACTATTAAAATGTATCAAAATTGCAATAAGTCAAAAAAATACAGATACAATAAAGAAATTAAAAAAATGACTGGTTGTTTACCCGTAAAAAATGAAATTTGAACCATTTTTTGTCGGTTCAGAATGTGAATTGAACATTTTTTTTAGTTCACTTGAATTGAACTTACATGTACAGATGTCTATTTGACGCTTTAGCCAAAGGAAAAAGATGGGAAGGAGGCATGTAAAGTGTAAACAATTTTAAGAGAACTGCCAGATCAAATCTTCAATACAGAAGCATACGTAGTATGATTTACATATGAATTAAATTCGTTCTTGGACGGGTTAGGATATTTTGATTATGGGAGAAGCAACTCTCAAAAAATACTTTTTAGCTTACTGGGTCCATTTATATACTCCTCGTATGAAAGAACAGGATGATTGGAAATTTTGGATTGCACCTTTAACCCTTGTATCTGACACTAATCATGTTCATGCTGTCTTGATTCTTGAGGGGTATAAAACAGTCGATGCGCTTTTATTTATTTTAATGCGCGAGAGAGTCAATGTCCAACTATACAATATACTACGATTAATCATTAACAATGCTCAATCATAATTTATACTGAAACAACAATAATATTTCATATTATTAGTCTCAAGTTAAAAATCTTGAAGCATGTGTCACTCACTCAAAATATGGTAGATATTCCAATCAACTATTCATTGTTATGGTATATGTATTATCTAGTTGTTAGTCACTACAAGCTATGTTCTAAAAATTCTTCTAGGCGTCCGACAAGTCCCTGCCTAGGCGCTAGGCGGTGGTCAGGCGCCACGATTTTTGTCTAGGCTCTCCGACTAATTGGTTTGCCATCTAGGTTTGTGTAGGCAGTGTAGCTCTAAATCATTCTCACTTTATTCTTCCTTTATCAATTAATATCAACAACACAAACTCACTTTTCTTAATAATTGTTCCACCCTCCTCCGTACCAATATAAAAGGGACGGAGAGATAGTACTTCATTAGTGCATTACAATGGGGGTGTTTGGATCCGCTTTTAAAAGTGATTCTACTCTCCCAAGGAGCACTTTGAATTGAAGCTGAAGCAGTTTAGCAAGTGTTTGGATCTGATTAAAAAACTTCTATTAGAAAGGGTGTAGAATCAGTTTGGTAGAAGTTGGGTAGTAGCAGCTTCTGGAATTTAGCTTCTGATTCTCTGAATTTTATTCCTAAAATAACCTCATTAGACTTTCGGAAAACAACGCAATGCAAATCAACGATCCAACCTAGGGCATTCTTCTCCCTTCAGAGCTTCTCTTCTCCCACCATCGAGGCGACGCAACCATTTAGGCCGGTGCTTGGATTCTCCGGCGAGAGCTTCTCCGACCACCATCTCTGGGTGGTGCGACTTGGCTTCTCCATCGACTTGTCTTCTCCGACTTCTCCAGCGACTTGTCTTCTCCGGCTTCTCCAATGACTTGTACTGTCTTCTCTGTCTTCCTTGTCTTCCACTCTAAGGTACACTCTGAACTTGTGATGTGATTAAAAATGATTAATTTTACACCTGATTAGTAATTACACTTACTAATCAACTTCCTAGCTAGGGTGGAAATAGGTCAGCCGGCCTGTCAGGGGCGTGTGGCCTGGCCTGACCTGTTTAGTAATCAAGCTAGGTTTGGGCTTTTCTAAAAGTCCGTTTATTTAAATAGGCCAGACCTAGCCCAACTCTAAAGCCTTTTTACCTCAACAAGCTGGCCTATTTATATGTGTGTATATATGTATATATAGTTATATTTATATTTATTTGTATTATTTATATTTATATTGGTATACTCAACTATATCCAAATCAGTATAATATTATTTTTAGGGAGTGTGTATTATAAATTAGAATAGACTACTTTTTTAAACATATATAAAGTGTGTTAATAGTTTATTAAGCTAATTGAAGTTCAAAGTTTTTCAAGATTCAAAGTATATAGAAATTTATAAACTACATAATAATACTCCATAATAATGTATTATTAGACATTCAAAGCAAAACTAACGTATTATTAGACTTTTTAGTGAATATTTGGGGTAATAAATTTTATACCGGATTAAAAGGATTTTTCACTTTTCATTTTCTTTGAAATTTTATTTTTTTTCTTAACAGGCCCGAGAAACAGGCTTCAGGCCAGACCAGACTTTTAAACAGGCCAGACCCAGGCCGAAAAAACAGGCCTTTAACAGGTAACAGGTCAGACTCAGGCCTTTATATTCTAAAACAGGCCCGACCTGTTTAGGCGAAAGCCTGACCTGGCCTGTTTCCACCCCTATTCCTAGCCATTCAAAAAGAATCCAAGCCTAACCAGGGGAGAAATAATGTCCTTTTGGTAAATTTACACAAAAATCAGTTTGAAGAAGCAGCTTATCTAAACACTCTAAACTGATTTTCTATTAGATACACCAGAATCAATACCAAACACTTTAGACAGAATCACTTTTCCATACAACACAAAATTCTGAGCTCTCTTAAAAATAGAAAAGGAAGCAGAATTAGTTCACGATTGTACCGCAAAACACTTGACGCACTGCTGGCTATTCCAAAACGGCAAAAGTAGTATGCAATTATTAGGGCCCTGGGCGGAGAACAAATTACATACTCGTATTGCTGATAAAGAACCCAGGACGGCTGCCAACCATTCCTACTCTATTTTCAAGAATTACATGGTAAACCCTAACTGGTAACTACATTCTTGTAGTTGATTCATTATTTGAATTTCGATTAAGTGTTTATGTGTTTTAGTGCTCTGCAATTTTAGTATTTATATGTAATTAGTTGAATTTCAGCATGTCAAATTGTCAATTATCGATATTATTCATTTCTTGGTGAATTATTACTTAAAAAGTTATCTTTTCGTGGTTTTTTTATTAGTTTTTAGGATGTATTTTTCAGACTGTTTATTTTCTGGCTCTAATTTACAAATTGTCTTTTCAAAAATGTCTCCTTAACAATTTGAGTTATGATAATTTATTTATATGTTTTTGTGATTGTATGAGTTGAATATGAAATTATAAATGTTATGATTAAATAAGGTCTTAGTTTTAAGGGGAAAATTGCTATATAACCATAAAAAATAGGTTCGGTGAAGTTAATAGCATCTATTTTATATAATGAAGTACATGACACTTTTTTTATGAATATAAAGCCGGTTAACATTTAAAACCGTATCTATCCTCATTCTTAAATATAGTTCGTTACAACCGGCCAGATATGAGAACGAAGAGCATATTAATTATTTAACTTTATATTGCAGATTGATTTTCTTTTCCTAATGGCTATAGTCAAGTTTGGAGATAACGTCAAAAAAACCTGCGTTTCCTTTGTTACCCAAGATTGCAAAAGAAAGCTACGTATAATTTTTTTTCCAGAAAACTATATATGAACTACACTTATTGCCAGAATGCAAGGTTTTTTCCAAAGAGCACTATAACTCCACCTTTATTTTATTTTGTTTTATGCCCTTTCCACTTATGAAAATCGAAAGTGTGTAACCCCAGAGAAAGGTGCGAATTTAGGGGGATAGTGAGAGAGAAGGAAACTCGCAAGGTTAAAAGGGACATCATATGATCGTGAGTTTCTTTAAAGGCTATTTACTTTATTTTTACTAATTCATGATATTAACTTAAAGTTACATACTAAATTGTGTACATCCATCCAATTTTCTCTAGTTTTAAAGGATATTTTTGTATACTTTGATTTAATAAAAAAGTATAGCTACTCAACATTCTTCCCATAAATCCAAATCGACATTGAATTTTTTCCTTAAACTCAAATGAAACACACAAAATGACACACCTAGCGACCACGTAAACATGTCTTATTTCAAAAGCCAACCGATTGAGATAGAATATGATTCAAGTAAAAGAAAAGAAAGATGGGGTTGTCCTTTTGAGAGTGGATATGAAGTTAGATGGTTATATTTGGCAGTAACATGTTCAGACTTCAATTTGTAACAGGATGATGAATTTGTAGGGGATAGTTTGACCATTTCCATTAAGGATATGTTTCGGAGTTTGGAGGGAAGGGTAGTGGAAGACTTTGGAGGTATGTTATTGGAGGGGAAAGGGAGGGGAGGGTGAGGAAGCCCTTCTTTGTATTTGGGAGTAATAAATTTGGAAGAAGAGAGTTTTTGAACGAATTATAATTAAAATCACTTTGAGATATGACGAATTCAAATAATTGAACTGATTAAAATAATTGACGAATTCAAATATTTATTTTTAATTTAGTTTAAATTACCATTTTTGAACTTTGGTTGCTACAAAAACTAATTTGGTTCAGCGACCTTTCTAAGCTATGGACTTGATGCATATATAAATTTATTGCTAATACTTATTGAAAATGTTGTTTGATATGTTAAGTTAAATACTAGTTCAGATGTTGAAGTTTGTCATTCCATAAAATAATGATTTTGTTCATGATGTCATGCAGATGTTGTTTGAGTATTTAAACTACCATATTTGCTTCCAAAGCATGACTAAACTCCAGAAAATTGCAATCACTTCCTTTTTGCTAGTATGTGTCTCTACTGGGTTCTTGTTTTCTACAGTTTCCTGCTCACCGATTCCACTGGGTTCTAGATTGACTATAGATGAGAATAACTATTGGATGTCTGCAAATGGGAATTTTAGATTCGGGTTCTCGAATCATTCCCTTCAATTCAGTGTTGGTATAGAATTCTGTCTGAGTTTTATCTCAGGCATTGAACCAACATTAGTTTGGAATTTGGGAGGTCACAATAAAGTCGGTAAAAAGTCATATGTTGAGTTAAGCCTTGATGGGGAACTAATATTGTTCGATACTGAAATCAGAGGTATCGCTTGGAAAAGCAATACCAGAAATGCTGGTATTGAATCAGCACTTCTTCGCAATGATGGTAACTTTGTACTCTTAAATCAAAAGAAGAATGTTATATGGCAAAGTTTCACCTCACCATCTGACACACTTCTTCCCGGCCAGAATCTGACATTTCACCAATTACTCCTAGGTGCCAGCGAGGGTCAAGAAGCTAGCCATTATAGTCTGTCTATGAGTGCTTCAGGGATATTGCAACTGAATTGGGACAACAGTGTCACTTACTGGACAGCGGGAGATCCTTCTAAATCAACTGTTCATGTCATGCTGAACACTGAAGGGGCAGTTCAAGGTTATGATCACATGTCTAAAGTTGTTTGGTCTGTGTTTCCACAAGACTTCAATGATAAAGATGTAAAGTTTCGTTTTCTTAAGCTAGATATTGACGGGAATCTTAGACTATACTCATGGAGAAACGAGTCAAGGTCTTGGAGGCCTGTTTGGCAAGCTGTTCAAAATAATTGTCATATCTTTGCAACTTGTGGGTATGACGGGATATGTATCTTCAATTCATCCGATTCACAGACTTGCGATTGTCTGCATACATCTGCCGGCGAGGAGTACTGTATTCTTCTAAATCAACAGAATTGTGCATTGGGATTTTCTATGATCAGGCGTGACCACACGTTCATATATGAAACACGTCCTTTAAGTCGAATGATGGTGAAAACAAGTTTGCAACATTGTAAACGTCTATGTGTAGAAGATCCACTCTGTCAAGCTGTTTCCTTTTTAAAAAATGGGACCTCAGAGTGTCAAATCATGAAATCTCAGTTCATTAGCGGTTGGTCAGATCCTTCATCCAGTTATGTATCCTTTGTTAAGACTTGTTTGGATCCCATCGCGGTTTTACCCATCCAAATGCACAACTTTACTAACAACCAATCACACAAAGTATCTGTGTTATCTATTATAGGAGGAATCACCGCTGTTTCAGTTCTTGCATGTATTGTTTTTCTGTCAGCAATTGGGACGTACATGGGTAGGAGAATAAGAAGAAAATGTGCTGGTAGAAAAGAAGCCCTATCATCAAATGCAGTGGTCAATTCTAGTGGATGTCTCATGTTGTCGTACTCTAAAATCAAGGAAATGACAGAAAAGTTCAAGAACCAGATTGGTCCAAACATGTTCAAGGGAGTGACACAACCAAATAACAAGTTAGTGGTAGTGAAAGATTTAAGTACTTCTTCTATTGGAGAAAAAATATTCTGTGACGTTGTTCTAAGACTGGGCAATGTACATCATAAAAATCTTTTGAAACTTGAAGCTTTCTGTTGTGAGTCACATTATAGGATCTTGGTTTATGAGTTTGTCAGGAACGGTTCTTTGGCTGAGTGCTTACGGGACTCTGAAATTGTCAAGAGGCTGACGTGGAGAAAAAGATGGAATATATGCATAAGCATAGCGAGGGCTATCTCCTACTTGCACAATGGATGTTGGGAGTTCATAAGCCACGGAAACCTGAACTGCACAAACGTGGTTTTGGATGATAATTTGGAAGCTAAGGTGAGTGGGTTTGGGCTGAGTCCACTTTTACCAAGTCCATCCAGAAGCGAGGAGAGCCCAGCAGAGAAAGACATTAGAGATTTTGGTATGATGATATGTGTCTTGATAACGGGGATCCAAAGCGGTGATAAGGCATGTAAATGGGCTTACGCAAAATGGGCTGCGGCAGAATTAGAAACGTTGTTCGATAAGATAATAGAAGGGGTTGATTTTGAAGAGATGGAGCGTGCGTTAAGACTGGCATTCTGGTGCTTGCAAGTTAACACGCAAAGGAGGCCATCCATGGCAGAAATTGTGAAGGTATTAGAGGGCGCATTTGATGTTGATCCTCCACCGCCTCTTTTTGGTTAATAGGATTCAATATTCATGTAATATTGCATCCTAGTTTCAAGACACTTATCATGGATGGACTCCTTTGCACCCATGGATGGCCTCCTTTGCGCGAAGTATGTAAGTTTAAGTTTTTATTGCTTGTAAGATGTCTTTTATTCAAGTCTTTTCTGCTTCACAAGTTGCAAGTCTTTTCATCTTGTTGATAATAAAAATGTCTCTCATATTTCAAACTATGTTTTATCCAGTAGCTGTTCACTGGCTCTAAGGTCCTGGATCTTTGTTACATGGCTTTCCACTTTCCAGGCAGTGGAGGGCATTCATTCGACTTAAAGGACGGTTTGTATATAAGAACGTATGGTCATGCTTGATCATAGAAAATCCCAACGACGAACGAATCAGGAAAGCGATGATGCCAGCATCAAATTGGGGATTTTAGATGGTGAAGTTTTACCTCTTGAAGATCTCATAGAGCCATCTGTTTTCTCAGAGATTAACTTTGCTTTCCCAACTGGTAAGTTAATCCTTTAATTTCTTCAAAGGAGTCTGCTGAGCAGTAGGTTGAATTACTATTATTTTGTTTTTTCGGGTAAGATTTTTTTTTTGTCTTTCTCGTTCCCTGACTAGGGATTTGAAATGATAAAAATTCCTCTTTACTTTGTAGAGTGTCAAGTTTTGATCTGAGAGATGAGGGGAATTTTCTAAGTATTCTTCTTAGCCGTGTTGTTTAGAAATACTTCTTAAGTATTTATGGACTCCAGGACAATTAAGTGTTTGGCCGTGAGTCTTTACTTTATTAAGTTTTACTTTCTTTATACTTTATTTATTTTAGCTTTATGTCTTTATTTCTGGAGTTTGAGGGTTTTGTGGTTGTGGATTCAGAAAGATTGCTCCCTATATTTCTGGAATTTACTTCTGATATTTCAGGTGGTTGTAAATTTTAATTCAGCTTTAGTTCAAGGAAATGTGAAAATTGTGAATTTAGACCTTTAGTCCAATACAATTCAGCTTGTTGTTGTGAATTGTAAATTATGAATTATGAATTATGAATTCTGGAATAACCCTAGATTGCTCCGTAGATTATTGTTGTGAATTAAACGAGTAAAACGTACAAACTAGTTTTTTAGTGTGAGGGTTTATAAGTTTATAATGCTGAAAAAACTACCATTTTACTGTCAAATCCAATTCGTGAGACCAGAAGAAAGGTCAGTGATAGTCTTCCCCCGACTGTATTCTTTTAAATAGTTGCTTCATGTGGATACAAAGATAATGTACAATTGTACATCTAATGTGAACATATGCTTCTGTTTCACTTATATTTTCATTATTTGTTGTTAGTAGTAATTTATTAATCTCATATTATCTCTGACACGTTGCAATTGATGTTATTTTATACATTATATTTTGGACCCCATTGAATCGTAATGCTAGGGATTATGAATACACCATTCTAAAACCAAGTGCTTGTTTGACACATTGACCCACAGGCTACAGCTTTTTGCCGCCTTTCATGTTTTTTTCCTTCAAAGACTTTCTCTTAGAAAGTGCTTGGGGTCAATATTTTCATGTTCACATCTATTGCACTTTTTTTGCAGGACAAGTTGAACTCTTCTCGCAATCTCGCATGTTCTTGTACTAAAGAATTTTGTGTATTATTTACTTGATTAAAAATTTCAATGCCTGTGTAGTTTATTTACTTGATTCTCAGGTATGCACATGTTGTCATTCGTTCTGCTGGAATCTTTTAGGTAGCTTAATGCCTATTTGAGATTAATCACTGCACGGTAACTTTCCAGTTTATCACGGATGTGAGTATGTGACCAAATTCATAAGTGGTTGTATGGCTTCTCTCTGCGGTTGTTCAACTTGAATTGCCTCGTGTCAACATCTTGTCAAAACTCAAAAATGGACCTAGTACAAGTGCAATTTTACTTGTTGACTTTGCAAAATAATTTGGGACGGAGAGAGTATTAGTTATTAGACTATGTTTACAAGTGCATAAAGTTATAAAACTAATCTTAAGTACAACTAAAAGTGATGATCAAAATTACTTATACTTATCTGTGAAAATGATTTTGAAAAACTTATAGTTAATTTGTGATGGAAAATGATGTTTTCCACCATTGCGAGGCTCATAACATACGGCACTCGTTCAATTTCAATAATACATTATTACATCCATTAGCATGACATATTCATTTTTTCCGTCGATAAAACAAGAAATAAATACAACGTAATGAAAATAGGTCCAATGTAGATTGTGGAACCATTTAGAGCAAAGTTATTGTTGCTGGTATATATAGATTTCTCTTAATAAACCTGTTGAAATATCTCAAACGTAATGGTGAAAAAATTTAAGAAAAATTAAACAGGATTGGACTTGAGCAGTTGTGCCGATCGACCATAATCTACGTCCGTCACTCGTCACTGCAGGCGTAATAGCACATGCACAGCACACCTGAATGGTTAGCACCACATGCAGCAGCTAGACGCTGATCATTTGGAAGGCTCTTCTCACAGATAGGGAAGCAATTGCCTGGATCATGTGGGTCACACTGTGCTGTGACGTTCTTCTGGCAAGCGGCCTTCTTCTGAGCTACATCATGAATTAACCAATTCAAGACAAAATATATACTTGGTATGTAGTTTAAAGTCTAGAAAGTGAGCACATGATAATTAATAACATACCATGTTTTTTGAATTTATACTAATATCGTAATATACCATCATAAAAGTAGAAAAAATATGCAACCCCATTCATGCTTCTCGAATTTACGGGTTTTTATGATTTCTTATTGTCACATCAGTGCCACATAAAAAATCTCAAAATCTATCAACTTCTCTTCAACCACTATTTATTGAGATTTTTTTTGGAACATAGACTAAAACCCAAAATCTATCAATTAAATGCACTAACACACTTACAAATCACACACTCTACGTATGCTCACACACACTATTATTATATAATGCGGAGTATACATGTGTATATATGTGTGTATATATGTGTTTACATACATGTACATAAATAAAACAATGCACACACCCTCATGTATTTTTTAGTATATCCTCTCAATCACACTGCTATACTATATACAGTCAGGTTAATGATTAATGAATAAAATATTACACAAAAACCCTTTATTGAAAGTATTTTTTAACAAAGTATTCTATTTTAATTTATAGCATTTTATTGAAAGTATTTAATATATATGCAGCTTTCCTATTTTTAATATGTATGTGTAACCGTATAATTTTTTAAAAGCTAATGAATGATAGATACCATACTCCAATTTTTAAATGGGTACCGAAGTAGAACGATGAAAAAAGAAAGTATCGAGAAGATTAAATAGTAAGAAAGAAAACTCCGGGCAATAAAAAGAGAAAAAATTAGGACAACATACCATCACCGGATAACCGGTAAGAGACATGATGTGCAAAAATGAGATCATTTTCATAGTATAGTGAGGTGAGATTCTTCTTAAAGGTCGATGAGTTTTTAACACTTTTGATCCTCTGACTATTATGTCGTTGACATTTTTGGTACTGGACTTGATTTTTTCACTTTTAGTCTTCGACTATTGTGTTAAAGACATTTTTAATTTGGTACCCATCTTTGAAGTTTTCATATTTAGTTCTTTGACTTTTATAAAAGTGACACTTTTGGTCCTCCAACTATTATATTAGTGTAGTTTTAATTTTATTCCTTCATTTATTAAGTCAAAATCATAGTGAAAGGACTAAAAGTGTCAATTTGATAATATTCAAGGGACTAAATGTGGAAATTTTTTATGTCGAGGACTAAAAGTATCTCTAGCACAATAGTGTCGAGGACTAAAAATGGAAAAATTAAAATTCAAGGACCAAAAGTGTAATTGACACAATAGTTGGAGGATCAAAAATGAAAAAAACTCAAGGTCGATGAAAGGTGGAAGTTTTTGTTTCCAATTTTCCTAAATTTTAATATTATACTATTATACTATCGTATTCTACGTTTTATGATTGATCTTTTTTTGAAGAGGAAATCGCTTTTATTGATATCATTAGAATCATGATCATTACATTAATATCAAAGTGACCAATACTGACTACAACCTTCACCTTCCAACTACTGCTTATAGCCATACGATTAGACATCGAGATGACCACCCCTAAAGGAGCAATATTAATCGCTAACCACCAGACGGGCTTAATGCAACTATTGCAGAACAAATAGATTCGCCCCCCACTAACCATATCAAATCTAGCCGAAACCTTAGTCATCCTAATAAACATAGTACCATGAACTTTATTAAAAAACAAAACGATAAGAATAGAGTTCCTTATTAAAAAACGAGACAAGGGGCAAATAAAGCCACGTACTAACAAAAAAAGGTCAAATAAAGCCTTATTTATGAGGCTCTGTCCAGCCTTCATCATTTGGGGTGGTTCTCGGTGGATTTTTTTGATGAACTTTTTTGATCATCTTATTCATTAAGTCTAGTTTACTCATAACAAATTTCAGCTAACAATTCAATCGGGTAGACATTCAAATGAATTCTTGAAGATAACTGCGCTTTTAACTGCACAGTTTTGGTAATTAAGCTCTTAGGGTAAAAGCTTATGTGTAAAAATTTATCTGAAAAATTCTTTATACCAGCTCACTCCAAGATTCGATCCTTATTACGCCCTTGAAATTGTTTCCCGTGCACGGAACAGGTAAAGATACTAGAGGCCCTATGCTGTGGAACCTATTCAACTTACTAAAAACGAAATTTGTTTCCATGAGTTGATCGTAATTGTCGTCGTATATTTTTCTAATTCTCGTAGGGGCAACACCAATGCGTTTGACTATATATGATATCGGGTTAAAACCGAACGAATTTTATTGCTTTATAAATGTAAAAGATAATACTAGTATTTCATTATATTTGGGCTGCATAAATAGTAAATCAAAATAATAAAAAAAAAGAAAGAGAGAAGAGCAAGATATTATACCAGAAACGAGTCCAAAGGTGATCAAAACTAGAAAAGTAAAAAGAATGATCTTCTCCATTATTATGATACAATCGAAATTGTTGGAACTGCAAAGCAAACGATCAATGTATTTCTTGAACGACCCTCATTTATATTGAAATATTAGTCAGTTTATCGATTATAAGCATCCTCTTATAGTAACCAAATCAGATGTGTATATTGTATTTATCTTTTCCAATAATATATGCAGTAATATATATTACCAAATTATGGTATAGACATATATAAATGTGGTCGTATTTAGTCAACTCTTTTTTATTATTATTAGCCACATGTCATGTGACCGTATCTATAAAAATGTTTCACAAGAGCAGAGGGGGAACAGTAGCTGCCGCCTCTTCTTTTCTTTTCTTTTCTTCCTTCATTTTTTGGCTTCAATTATTACGTTGAAAAAGAATCGTTTAATCACTATTTTCAGTTTTGTCTATATATTTATTTCCCAGTGTTGTCTAAATATGTTATTTTTGGTGGCGAATTGTCGTGTTTCATTTATATATTCTCCGTCATTATCAGGCGCCTGTGCTTGTGCGCTAGTTGAGATTTGTAGTGGTTTCTTCATCAATTATGAATCTGGATTTCTTTTGCATCAATATTAGGGTTGGGACCAGTTCGGTTCTTACTCAAAATGAGTGGAACCATTGTAAAATTTTAACTAGAGGAATCAGTTCGATTCCTATATAAAAATCAAGAACCGTTATACATGGAACCGAGCCGGTAGTAAACAGTTCGGTTCTTCCTTTTACTGGTTTCTAGAATAATTTTTTCTCATCTAAGAATTAACACATAATTTATTTTCTACAACATAAGCACGTCGAAAATTCAAGACACTAGTATTAAAATTTTAGAGAAAAGGGGCAAATAAGCCCACGTACTAACCAAAAAAGGTCAAATAAGCCCTTATTTAGGAGGCTCTGTCCGGCCGTCGCCATTTGGGGTGGTTCCTGATGGAAGTTTTTTATGAAAGTTTCTGAGCATCTTATTCATTAAGTCTAGGTTTACTCATACCAAATTTCAGGTAAAACTTCAATCGGGAAGGCAATAAAATGAATTCTTGAAGATAATTGCGCTTTTAACTGCACAGTTATCTTCAATAATTCATTTGAATGTCTCCCTGATTGAATTGTTAGCTGAAATTTGGTATGAGTAAACTAGACTTAATGAATAAGATGCTCAAAAAATTTCATCAAAAAAGTACACCGGAAACTGCCCCAAATGGCGACGGCCGGACAGACCTCTTATATAAGGGCTTATTTGACCTTTTTGGGTTAGTACATGGGCTTATTTGCCCCTTTTCCCAAAATTTTATTTGAAGCTCTAATCGCTTCAAACATCAAAGCTCAAACTTAATTAACTAATGATCTGTAAACATAAAAGAAATTGCCCAAAATGAGACTAAAACATAGATTAAACTCCAAAATAGGACTTTAAGTTTTTAATTCCCTAAATAGGAGTCCATATTACATATTTGCCCTTCTTTACTTAAACCCCAATTTCTCGCCTCTGCAATTCATCGCTCTGCCTCCTTCATCGCTGCCCTGCCCTGCCCCTTCATCGTTGCTTTCTCCAGATCGACTACAACTAACTAATCCCAGCAGCTCCGCACATCCTTTCCTCCCATAGACTGCAGCTCTGCCATCGGCTATGACCTCGCACCGCAGCTCCGCCGTCGATCATATGTAGTCTTCTTCTCCTTCTCCCTCTCCTTCTCCCTCTCCTTCTCCTTCTCCTTCTCCCTCTCCTTCTCCTTCTCCTTCTCTTTTTTCTTCATCTTCTTCTTCTAATCCTCTTCAAATTTTTAGTCCTTTGTTCTCTTCTTCTTTGAATTTTTTGGATTTGAATTTTACTTAGCTTGTTAATGTGAACTTTTTAGGTTTGAATTTAATTTATTCGGGAAAATGACACTTTTATAATCTGAGAGTGTCAAAATTATTGTTTATTTGAAAAAATGGCACGTTTTGTGGCAGTACATTTACCAGGATGAAAATCTGAAAATGTCATTTTTGTTTCGAAAATGTCATGAAAATGACATTTTTCCTTTTTGGAAATGTAATTTTGTTCTTTGAAAAAACTGTCACGTTTGTGGCAGTACATTACCAGGATGACAATCTAAAAATGTCATTTTTCTTTTAAAATTGTCATTAAAATGACATTTTTCTTTTTGGAGATGTCATTTTCTTTTTTGAAATTGTCACCTTAGCAAATGTCATAAAAGTGACACTACTACAAATTAGTGTTCAATTAAACATCAACTATGGCATTTTCAGATTGAAGTGATGAGAACAATAATATGAATCTTTTAAAATAAATTACTCAGGATTAATAAAAATTTGGAAATCCGAAAGAAGAAGAAAACAGAAGAGTTGTGGAAGAAGAAAACATTGGAGCTTGGAGAAGAAATTAACGTAGGAGCAGAAGAAAATTAAAAGATGAAGAAGAAACTTACCTGGGCATTGTGCGGAGGCGTCCATCCATCGCTAG